CCCCAAAACCCCAAAACCCCAAAACCCCAAAACCCCTACTAAATCTTCTATTATTGATATTTATTAAAAATGCAGAATAACTCAGATATACAGAAAGATCTCTACGGCTTCACCATATTTTTCGACTCTTTATGCTCAGAGTCCCTAAATCTTGAAGGGAAATTAATCATAACAATTGATGAGGAGATAGGGACACAAATTATATCAAAAGAGGATTGCAAAGTTGAGCATGCACTTACTCTTATTTCACAATCGATAAAGCTACAGCAAACCTTATACTTTTCTAAGAAAATGCAGAGATATAATGATAGCTCCGATATCCAAGCCTCTTTTTACGTCAACGATGTAGATTATTCACAGCCTGTGTTCATTGGATTAATAAATATAAATTTAACCAAGGTGATAAACTCTCATTCGCAAGATCAAGAAATCGACATAAAATTGCAAAACTGAGATTACAAAAATACTTCAGTAAAAGTTTTAGTCTCTGCTAGAAAAGATCTTCAAACCTCTTTAATTCAACAAACAGGAAAACAAAACAGAGGAAATTATATCAATCGCCAAGCTCAGAGATTCCAAATGCTTAATAAGGATATGGCTGATGACTCTCTCACTAAGTATGATCAAGATGACCTTTATATAAGAGAGACAGCAGCCCAGGATTATGGCCAGACTCGAGAAACTTTAATTAGTGATACTGACACTCAGAGTATTAGAAACAAGATAATATTTGAAGATGAAACATCGGAATGAAGAGAGTCGAATGACACTGATAATTTTGATCACCTAAGACAACAATGATATAAAGGAGTGCATACTCCTCTAAAAGGTGACCAAGATACTATCAACATAACACAAACTCTCGATAACATACAAACCAGTCGTTATGAAAACTCTTACACAAACGAATACTCCAAAATCAGCATCCTCAACTTCGACCAAATCGAACAACAAAAATCTTCAAAAAACCCGAAACCCAACCACAGCCCTGAAATCCACCACATCCTCTCAACGTACGAACAAAAACTAAGTAATTTCCTCGATCAAAAAGACCCCTCTCCCACTAAAACCCACTCATGTACTAAAACTCCTTCAGATCCCAGCCTAGAATCCCTCAAACGTGCGTACTTCTCTGTCTGTGGCCAGAATGATAAGTTGAAAAATGAACTAAAGATGTTGAAGTTGGCCCATCAGAGGTTATATAATTAAAACTTCTAACAGAGAAATCTCTGAGCTAAAGCAGGACATTGCCAGCTTGACAGCAGAGATCTCTTCACTAATTGGGTACAAGTCAAGGTTCGAACAACTCAAGAAGGAAAACCAGAAGTTGGTTGAGATAGAAGAGAAGTATGAAGATCAAGTGGAGAAATTACAGGAGAAGATTGAAGAGGTCCAGTTTGTGCATTCTGGTAAGGATTCAAAGGATCAAGTCAAAATTCAAGAATATTGACAGAGAATAAAGGATCTTGAAGATATTGTGAAACAGAAAGATATCAAGTTAGAAGAGATCAGTATTGATAGAAACATCTCTACTCTCTCAAAACAGAACGAATCTCTAACAAAAAAATTAGAACAGGTCAACAAGGCTTTAGCTACCCAGCAAGCCTCAACAGTGAGCCTCAAAAGACACAACTCTATAGTAAATAAGCTGGAAGATGAGCTAAGGCAGAAGCAGAGAGATATAGAAGAATACGAACAAACTATTGACATGTATAATAAGAGTAAATATGAACAGAATTCAGAAGAACGAGGCAGTCAGCTACAGAGAAATGAAAGTGGTTCAGAAGCTGTGAGTGACGAAGGAGAAATACATGATGCGAGACATTTGAGTATGGAGGTCATAGAAACTCAGCATAGACTTGAAAGACTTGAGTTTTATGAGAGGAATAATCTTGAACTGCTTGAAGAACTTGAGCAAAAAGATCTGGAATATCATCTAAGCATCAAGCATCATAAGGAAGAATTGAATTCTCTCAAAAATTATTTTCAGGAACAACTCACGACTCTAGAATCTTCTCATGAGCTAAAAATCTCTCAAATAAAATTGTCTGAAAGAAAGTCAGCTTCGTTAGACCAAGAGCAGCTCCAAGATGAGTTTCAATCTATGTTCTCTGCAAAGTTCAACGAATGGAAATCCCAAGCAAAGCAGTACGAGGACAAAATAAAACACCTCGAAAACATGATAAATTCTTCATAACCACAAATTTTCAATCCTCTCCTTCCAAATTGGGGTTTTGGGGTTTTGGGGTTTTGGGGTTTTGGGG